CCATGTGGGCTGACCACACTGAACCCACTATGGGTTCAGTGTGGTCAGTACATATCCACGCCCAGGTTGGACCTGGGTGTGGATATGTAGACCCCAGTCCTTTTTTAAGTGGGCTAAATGAGACAAAATTGTAGAACAATGTACAGGGGTTGGACAATGAAACTGAAACACCTCTCATTTTAGTGTGGGAGGTTTCATGCCTGAATTGGACTAGCCTGGTGGCCAATCTTCATGAATTGCACATTGCAACAGTAAGAGCAGAATGTGAAGGTCCAATTAGCAGGGTAAGAGCACAGTTTTGCTCAAAATATTGCAATGCACATAACATTATTTGGGACATACTGGAGTTCAAAAGAGGGCAAATTGTTCACCAAGACAGCAAGTCTTTGTGATTATCAAGAGCCACAGTATCCAGGGTAATGTCAGCATACCACCAAGAATGACGAACCACATCTAACAGGATTAACTGTGGATGCAAGATGAAGCTGTCTTAAAGAGATGTTTGGGTGCTAACCTGGATTGTATCCCAAAAACATAAAACCACGGTGCCCAAATCACGGTAGAATTAAATGTGCACCTCAACTCTCCTGTTTCCACCAAAACTGTCCGTCTGGAGCTCCACATGGTCAATATACACAGCCGGGCTGCTATAGCCAAACTTTTGGTCACTCGTATCAATGCCAAACGTCGGTTTCAATGGTGCAAGGAGCGAAAATCTTGTGCTGTGGACAATGTGAAACATATTGTTCTCTGATGAGTCTACCTTTACTGTTTTCCCCACATCCGGGAGAGTTACGGTGTGGAGAAGCCCCAAAGATGCATTCCAGCCAGAGTGTTGTATGCCAGAGTGAAGCATGGGGGTGGATCATTGATGGTGTGGGCTGCCATATCATGGCATTCCCTTGGCCCCATACTTGTCCAAGACGAATTGACGCTGTATTGGCCTCAAAAGGAGGCCCTACACCACGCTAATAAGTTATTGTGGTCTAAAACCAGGTGTTTCAGTTTCATTGTCCAACCCCTGTAGTTAACCTGTCACTTTCAAAATTTTGACTGTATGTCAAAGCAAAAGCTGCAAGAGCAAGATTCTCAAAACTTGGAAAGAATTACCCGAGATGTCAGCTTTATAGTCTTTGCCAAGGCAATTGTTACTCAGCTGGCCTCTAATGGAGTTGATGTAAGGTAAATTGTAGAATTTAATTTTTTCCTTGTAGGAAACCTCGACGATAGTAAAGGTTGGTGACCTTGACCATTGTCGAGGTCTCCAGGACGAAGGTGACCTCGTCTTGGAGATCACCCAAGGATATATTTTGCTGATAGAACAGAACATCCATGTCTTCCTAATGTTTGAACCTAAAACATGTTCACTGTGTGATATCTATGCCTGGCTCATTTACAAACACTAGGCTTCCAGAGGACCAGGATATTAAAACATTAAAAATAATTCTACAATGCTTATTTTTTTAAACCAGTTCAGTATTGCTCTAGCCACACTTTGAACCCTTAACATTTTTTCATGTTATTATTTTATGCTAGAACAGTCCAGTCCAGTCTCCAAGCCAGTACGCATGAGTGGGCCCCCCTTGGGTTTGTAGTAGGCCATATGGGTAATGAGTGGTCATGGGTTTTATCTGGGCAAACCTCATGGGACACATATGGTTAACTAAAATGGGACCCCTATGGGCTGGCCCATTTGGGCTAAATGTATGGGCCCTATTCAGCAACAATGTGGGCTAACTGGAAATGGGACAGAAATGGGCAACACTATTTGGGGCCCATGTGGTTTCAGTATCATGGGCCCCACATGAGAAGCCCAATGTGGGCTGTCCACATTAAACTAACATGACATGAGCATGGGCTAACCATACATGGGTTGGACCTGGGCAGGAAAATGTAGCCCCTAGTACTTTTTTTCATGGTCTAAATGGGACAAAATTGTAGAACATTTTAATCGACAATGTGGTTACCCTGTCACTTTCAAACTTTTCACTGTATGTCAAAGCAAAAGCCAGTTCAGTATTGCTCTTGCTACACTTTGAACCCCTAACTTTTTTTTCATTTTATTATTGCAGTCTGAATGTCTTAAAACATTTTTTTGAAATAATCTGTTTGAAATATATACGTAAACTCATATTCTGGTGCTTACTCAAAATTAAGCACAGAGTGGTCATGGTTGAGCTTTAGTCCTTGTTTTATTTTTAATAATAATAACTTTTTATTTTATTTTTATTATTATTTTTTATCAATTGGATGTTTAGACAGTTTACTGCAGCCTGTTCGCAGCAAGATTTAAATTTTTATTTGGACAAATAGTTCAGATCAGACCATTGTGAAAAATATCACAAAATGTTTAGAAAATAAACAAAACTCATTAGCAAGTGAGAGACAAGAGTAAAATTTTGAGCATCTGTTTTTTCATATATTTGCAAAACATTTTCCAAGTCATCAGTATAAATAAAAATAAAAAATAAAAAAACGTAACATTTCTGTTAATGATTCATTTGGTTCCAATTACCTTTTTGTTCATTGTTTGCTCTGAGGCACCGTTGCCAATAAAGGTTGGTGAATTGAAGTACCGGTAGGCACTTTACACATCCACTGAAGAAAATAGTTCCAAAAAATATTTGAATAAGGAGGACAACGAAATGTATTTATTTACATTGAGAACTTTTGCTACATCGGTTTTACATTTGTTAAACCGATGTAGCACTCTCAAAAATTAATCTTGTGTTTCTTGGAAAACGTAAAATGACCGCGGATGGATATGCGGTTTCAAAATCAAGCCTGTTCTCTTCATCAGTCCGTTGGCGCGGAGTCTGCCGGCTGATCTACGAAAGAATCTGTAAGTACATTTCTTCTGTTTTACCTAGTACCAAATTTTAGGGAGAGATTTTAAATCGCTTGTTAAAAAAATTGTTGCTCGTAACAAATCGGACGACAGTATCCCAAAAGAGACTTAATTGTTATTGTTATTTTTGCTTTTCTTTAGGGTGATACTTTTTCTGATATTGCTAACACACACAGCTACACACAATAAGCAGATTTTAGTGCAGACCGATTTCAAACGCAGCGTTGTGGGCCAAACCATTTTCAAATACCGCCGCCATTCTATTTGTTGAGCTGCCATTGGTTCATTTGAGCGCCAACGAGGCAGAATGAAATCGGTTCACTGAAGAATCTATGTTGCTAGCAGAGGTTGTTACAAAGTGTCTGGACACAATAAAACCATTTGTATGATTTAAAAAGAGTAACTATTGTGCTTTCATTCTATGTACTTGGGCTTTTAATAATCTTTCTCACAGTCACATCAGCATGCATGGGTGGGTCTCATGTATGGATTCAGGCTGGTTTGGCTGGGACCCATGCAAGATTATTATTGTCGTTTTTTTCAATAAAACTGCATTGAATCGTTTAGCTTTGGGCTATATAGGTAATGATAAGAGGGCATGGGTTTTATCTGGGCCAACTGCGTGAGGCTCAAAAGGTTAACCGAAATGGGACTCATATTGTTGGCTCAATTGGGTTAAATGTATGGGCCCAATTCAGCATTAACGTGGGCTAACCGGGCATGGGACAGAAATGGGAACAGTATATGGGGCCCATGTGGTTTCAGTATATTGGGCCTAAAAGGTTTTTTGTAAATAGGATGAAGGCATTGTAGTTCATATTTTTAAATTCTTTTTTTAATTGTTGTGACACTTTAAAGCGTTTTGTTATGTCATAGTTTATTTCAATCTGCCGCTATTGTGTTGGTCTAGAGTAGTCATCAGTGTCAGGGTTCCTGTGTGTGTATGTGAGTGTCGCATCTTATTTCAGCGAGGAGCCCGTGGAGCTTGGCACAGGTGGAGGAGCAGCAGAATCTTCAGTCTACGCTAGATTGACTGAAGATTCTACTGGTGTATGCTAGATGGTTGCATACACCGGTAGTCACTCTGGCCTCTCCTGTTGTGAACAGTTTCTGAGAACGTTTCTGTGTCTACTAGAAGTCACCTGGTCTCTGTGTTTGTTCGATCCTAGGGGTTTTGTCGCCTCATTCGAGAACTCACCAGTGAATACCTGCCTGCTCGCTCCGCCGATTCCACTGCCTCCACTCCACCCTTCGAGCTTCCAGCTCTCTTCCATTCCCACCTCGCATTTACCTTCGGAACCGCTGCACACCCTCTCTCAGGAACCTGGCATCTCACACCCACGCCTCGAAAGACCCGCACCGAAGTAAGCCTGTTCCTGTTTCCCCTCCGATCACTCATTCTAAGCCCGTCATAACTAAGTTCTCGTTTCAGGCCAACCTGGTCGAGTGGTCCTCACCCTTCCGCTGATGTCCGGGAAATAGATTTTATTTTGTCCTGTTGTAAATAAATCACTCACTCATCCCTATCCAACGTGTGGTTACTGCATGTGGGTCCGTAAATTGAAACCCATCATGTCAATCAGTGGCCAAGCCTGAAACAAATATTGAAAGATGAAGAAATTCTTTTTGATATTTTTGCAATATTTAGCTAGCAGTTATGTGAAATGTACTTATATTTAATTGTAGCTCTAATTTTTTTATATGTGCAATGTTTTAGGCTTTATTAGTTACATTTATAGTGATTTTCTAAACTTCTCTTAAGAGTAATACTACTGTCTTAGTCCTGTCACGTTAACAAAGAAATTAGGATAATTGCAAAACTGTTCAGTGTTTACAATATAAGGCTTCAGTAGTTAATCCATACAAAGGCTGTTTTGCCTTAATTTTTTATTTTTTTGAAAAGTCTAAATGTTATATTGCACTAATAAAATATATATTTTTGCAGGCTTCAAGAGGATCAGCGTGTGAAGATCACTTTATAATGATTTGAAAAAGGTAGATTAATATGTTAGTAAAATTAAGCACATAAGAGTGATATAATGACAAACTGATGAACAAAAACAAAATGTTGTCCTGTTATTGTCATTGTACTTAAGGTTGCCATGGCTACAGAAATTGGAGGAGCATCCTTAGATGACAACCAGCTGTGCGATCCTCATGTCCCATGAACTGGAAGTCCAGTTCAACCTTTTTGGCCAACATTGGAAACAAGCTCTTGGACCTGCGTCTCTTTGATGTTTTGTATGGTAAATATCAGTTTTTATTGTCAGAGTAACTTTTTTTTTTCACTTTTCTTCTTAAACATATGTTAATTTATTTTGGTTGTTTATGCTTTTGTTTGTTATTTTTAGTAATGTTTTTAGGTTAAAAATTGAGTCTTCAATTTTTGGTTTTATTTGAACAGTATTCTTTCACTGTTGTTAAGAACTTAAAAATTTGAAGGTAATATTGTTTGCATTTCAAACAATATTAAAATAACCACAAAACCACGATAGAACCTAGTAGTTGATTATATAGATGGATATATTTTAAATTTACAGTAAGAATATAGTTTCTGTACATAATAATGATGACTCAAGAGTCCTTTTGATTATGGCATATCTCTGCAAGCATTTTTGCCCCATGAAGGGGGAGATGCAAATCTCATGAATGTTACATTGTGCTAAAATGAAACACTAATACAATTTCTACCTTTGCTTGTTATTTCAGGGGACTTAAAAGAAATTATCCATCTACAGAATCACACAAGCATACAGCAAAGACTCTCGAAGTGGTTTACTGGAGCCCGAGTGGAAGTGGAAATAGACTAGAGAGACTGCCAGTTCAAACTCAGGTTGGGGAGGTCTTTCAAGATGGACAGTTTCAGTAAAGTATGAGAGATTTCAAATTTAAGCATGCATATGGCATGTAGGTTATTTTTAAAAATGTTTAACAAAAATGTATTGTGAAAGATCTATATAGGTGTGTATATTCACATTGTGTGTATCAATGTGAATATACGTGTATAAAGTTATATAGATAGTATTTAGATGTATACATTTGTAGACCTGTAGGAAAATATGTAGGTGTCTTTATTTGTGTGCATCTATAGATATATATTTATAGATCTGTTTATAAGTTTGTTATAGTAAACTAGCTTCTGTTATTTTCAAAGATGTCGTGAATAATTGCAGATTTCTTTTTGTGGCACCATTCCCTGAGTATTAATGAAGTTCTAATAATTGCTGTAGTGAGGTAAAAAATAACTCCTGACAATATTTTAAATTACTAAATAAAAGCCTTGAGCAAAATAAATTTTTCATCTCTTTTTTTTTTTTTTTTTATTTGAACACGTTTTAAGCTAGACTTTGGATTGTTGATCAAGATTGCATATCTATGAATGTAATTCACATCCAGGTTAGATGAGAATTGTTCCTACAGGATTAAGGCATCTGGGTCCCGCTGAAAACCCAGTCAGCACCCATTGAAATCAACCTGGGCAAACCCATGTGGGGCCACCATGGAAACCGTGGACAAACCCACTTGTTACCCATATTCTAGCCCAGTTCAGACCCAATTGGGACCAGGTAAATATTCCTGACAGCACCCTAGTGGGCCACAGATGAGCCTCATGTAAGTTAACCACATGGGCCCCACTGAAAGCCCAGTCAGCACCCATTAAAATCTACTTGGGCAAACCCATGTGGGGCCACCATGGAAACCGTGGACAAACCCACTTGGTACCCATATTCTAGCCCAGTTCAGACCCAATTGGGACCCAGGTAAATATTCCTGACAGCACCCTAGTGGGCCACAGATGAGCCTCATGTAAGTTAACCACATGGGCCCCACTGAAAACCCAGTTAGCACCCATTAAAATCTACTTGGGCAAACCCATGTGGGGCCACCATGGAAACCGTGGACAAACCCACTTGGTACCCATATTCTAGCCCAGTTCAGACCCAATTGGGACCCACGTAAATATTCTTGACAGTACCCTAGTGGGCCACAGATGGGCCTCATGTGAGTTAACCATGTGGGACCCACTGAAAACCCAGTTAGCACCCATTAAAATTTACTTGGGCAAACCCATGTGGGGCCACCATGGAAACCGTGGACAAACCCACTTGGTACCCATATTCTAGCCCAGTTCAGACCCAATTGGGACCCACGTAAATATTCTTGACAGTACCCTAGTGGGCCACAGATGGGCCTCATGTGAGTTAACCATGTGGGACCCACTGAAAACCCAGTTAGCACCCATAAAAATTTACTTGGGCAAACCCATGTGGGGCCACCATGGAAACCGTGGACAAACCCACTTGGTACCCATATTCTAGCCCAGTTCAGACCCAATTGGGACCCACGTAAATATTCTTGACAGTACCCTAGTGGGCCACAGATGGGCCTCATGTAAGTTAACCATGTGGGACCCACTGAAAACCCAGTCAGCACCCATTAAAATCTACTTGGGCAAACCCATGTGGGGCCACCATGGAAACCGTGGACAAACCCACTTGGTACCCATATTCTAGCCCAGTTCAGACCCAATTGGGACCCACGTAAATATTCTTGACAGCACCCTAGTGGGCCACAGATGGGCCTCATGTGAGTTAACCATGTGGGACCCACTGAAAACCCAGTTAGCACCCATTAAAATCTACTTGGGCAAACCCATGTGGGGCCACCATGGAAACCGTGGACAAACCCTTTTGGGACCCATATTGCCTGCCCACTTATATCCCATATGGGGCCCACCTAGGTGTGCTGGCTGGGAACCTGGGCGTGGATATGTACTGACCACACTGAACCCACAGTGGGTTCAGTGTGGTCAGCCCACATGGTCTCCCCATGTTGGGCCCATGACATGAGCCCATGCTGATGTCATGTGGGTTCAGTGTGGTCTGCCCACATGGTCTCCCCATGTTGGGCCCATGATACTAGAACCACATGGGCCCCACATACTGTTGCCCAGTACTATCCCATTCCCAGATAGCCCACTTAAAAAAGGACTGGGGCCCACATATCCACACCCAGGTCTAACCCATATATGGTCAGCCCATGCTGATGTCATGTGGGTTCAATGTGGTCTGCCCACATGGGGCTTCCCATGTTGGGCCCATGATACTGAAACCACATGGCCCCCATATACTGTTGCCCAGTACTATCCCATTCCCAGATAGCCCACTTAAAAAAGGACTGGGGCCTACATATCCACACCCAGGTCTAACCCATATATGGTCAGCCCATGCTGATGTCATGTGGGTTCAATGTGGTCAGCCCACATGGGCTTCCCATGTTGGGCCCATGATACTAGAACCACATGGGCCCCACATACTGTTGCCCAGTACTATCCCATTCCCAGATAGCCCACTTAAAAAAGGACTGGGGCCCACATATCCACACCCAGGTCTAACCCATATATGGTCAGCCCATGCTGATGTCATGTGGGTTCAATGTTGTCTGCCCACATGGGCTTCCCATGTTGGGCCCATGATACTAGAACCACATGGGCCCCACATACTGTTGCCCAGTACTATCCCATTCCCAGATAGCCCACTTAAAAAAGGACTGGGGCCCACATATCCACACCCAGGTCTAACCCATATATGGTCAGCCCATGCTGATGTCATGTGGGTTCAATGTGGTCTGCCCACATGGGGCTTCCCATGTTGGGCCCATGATACTGAAACCACATGGCCCCCATATACTGTTGCCCAGTACTATCCCATTCCCAGATAGCCCACTTAAAAAAGGACTGGGGCCTACATATCCACACCCAGGTCTAACCCATATATGGTCAGCCCATGCTGATGTCATGTGGGTTCAATGTGGTCAGCCCACATGGGCTTCCCATGTTGGGCCCATGATACTAGAACCACATGGGCCCCACATACTGTTGCCCAGTACTATCCCATTCCCAGATAGCCCACTTAAAAAAGGACTGGGGCCCACATATCCACACCCAGGTCTAACCCATATATGGTCAGCCCATGCTGATGTCATGTGGGTTCAATGTGGTCAGCCCACATGGGCTTCCCATGTTGGGCCCATGATACTAGAACCACATGGGCCCCACATACTGTTGCCCAGTACTATCCCATTCCCAGATAGCCCACTTAAAAAAGGACTGGGGCCCACATATCCACACCCAGGTCTAACCCATATATGGTCAGCCCATGCTGATGTCATGTGGGTTCAATGTTGTCTGCCCACATGGGCTTCCCATGTTGGGCCCATGATACTAGAACCACATGGGCCCCACATACTGTTGCCCAGTACTATCCCATTCCCAGATAGCCCACTTAAAAAAGGACTGGGGCCCACATATCCACACCCAGGTCTAACCCATATATGGTCAGCGCATGCTGATGTCATGTGGGTTCAATGTGGTCTGCCCACATGGGCTTCCCATGTTGGGCCCATGATACTGAAACCACATGGGCCCCATATACTGTTGCCCAGTACTATCCCATTCCCAGATAGCCCACTTAAAAAAGGACTGGGGCCCACATATCCACACCCAGGTCTAACCCATATATGGTCAGCCCATGCTGATGTCATGTGGGTTCAATGTGGTCAGCCCACATGGGCTTCCCATGTTGGGCCCATGATACTGAAACCACATGGGCCCCATATACTGTTGCCCAGTACTATCCCATTCCCAGATAGCCCAATTAAAAAAGGACTGGGGCCCACATATCCACACCCAGGTCTAACCCATATATGGTCAGCGCATGCTGATGTCATGTGGGTTCAATGTGGTCTGCCCACATGGTCTCCCATGTTGGGCCCATGATACTGAAACCACATGGCCCCACATAGTTTTGCCCAGTTCTATCCCATTCCCAGTTAGCCCACTTAAAAAAGGACTGGGGCCTACATATCCACACCCAGGTCTAACCCATATATGGTCAGCGCATGCTGATGTCATGTGGGTTCAATGTGGTCTGCCCACATGGGCTTCCCATGTTGGGCCCATGATACTAGAACCACATGGGCCCCACATACTGTTGCCCAGTACTATCCCATTCCCAGATAGCCCACTTAAAAAAGGACTGGGGCCCACATATCCACACCCAGGTCTAACCCATATATGGTCAGCGCATGCTGATGTCATGTGGGTTCAATGTGGTCTGCCCACATGGGCTTCCCATGTTGGGCCCATGATACTGAAACCACATGGGCCCCATATACTGTTGCCCAGTACTATCCCATTCCAGATAGCCCACTTAAAAAGGACTGGGGCCTACATATCCACACCCAGGTCTAACCCATATATGGTCAGCCCATGCTGATGTCATGTGGGTTCAGTGTGGTCAGCCCACATGGTCTCCCCATGTTGGGCCCATGATACTGAAACCACATGGGCCCCACATAGTTTTGCCCAGTTCTATCCCATTCCCAGTTAGCCCACTTAAAAAAGGACTGGGGCCTACATATCCACACCCAGGTCTAACCCATAGATGGTCAGCCCATGCTGATGTCATGTGGGTTCAATGTGGTCTGCCCACATGGGCTTCCCATGTTGGGCCCATGATACTGAAACCACATGGGCCCCATATACTGTTGCCAGTTCTATCCCATTCCCAGATAGCCCACTTAAAAAAGGACTGGGGCCCACATATCCACACCCAGGTCTAACCCATATATGGTCAGCCCATGCTGATGTCATGTGGGTTCAATGTGGTCAGCCCACATGGGCTTCCCATGTTGGGCCCATGATACTAGAACCACATGGGCCCCACATACTGTTGCCCAGTACTATCCCATTCCCAGATAGCCCACTTAAAATGGACTGGGGCCCACATATCCACACCCAGGTCTAACCCATATATGGTCAGCCCATGCTGATGTCATGTGGGTTCAATGTGGTCTGCCCACATGGGCTTCCCATGTGGGGCCCATGATACTGAAACCACATGGCCCCCATATACTGTTGCCCAGTACTATCCTATTCCCAGATAGCCCACTTAAAAAGGACTGGGGCCTACATATCCACACCCAGGTCTAACCCATATATGGTCAGCCCATGCTGATGTCATGTGGGTTCAATGTGGTCAGCCCACATGGGCTTCCCATGTTGGGCCCATGATACTAGAACCACATGGGCCCCACATACTGTTGCCCAGTACTATCCCATTCCCAGATAGCCCACTTAAAAAAGGACTGGGGCCCACATATCCACACCCAGGTCTAACCCATATATGGTCAGCCCATGCTGATGTCATGTGGGTTCAATGTGGTCAGCCCACATGGGCTTCCCATGTTGGGCCCATGATACTAGAACCACATGGGCCCCACATACTGTTGCCCAGTACTATCCCATTCCCAGATAGCCCACTTAAAAAGGACTGGGGCCCACATATCCACACCCAGGTCTAACCCATATATGGTCAGCCCATGCTGATGTCATGTGGGTTCAATGTGGTCAGCCCACATGGGCTTCCCATGTTGGGCCCATGATACTAGAACCACATGGGCCCCACATACTGTTGCCCAGTACTATCCCATTCCCAGATAGCCCACTTAAAAAAGGACTGGGGCCTACATATCCACACCCAGGTCTAACCCATATATGGTCAGCCCATGCTGATGTCATGTGGGTTCAATGTGGTCAGCCCACATGGGCTTCCCATGTTGGGCCCATGATACTGAAACCACATGGGCCCCATATAGTGTTGCCCAGTACTATCCCATTCCAGATAGCCCACCTAGTTGCTGAATAGGGCCCATGCATTTAGCCCATATGGGCCAGCCCATATGGGTCTCATTTTAGGTTAACCATATGTGTCCCATGCAGTTCGCCCAGATAAAACCCATGCCCACTCATTACCCATGTAGCCCACATCAAACACAAGTGGGGCCCACTCATGCGTGCTGGCTGGGATGATGGCTGTTACTGAGAGCTGCAGCAATACAATCTCTTAAACATTCCTTCTTCTCCGACTTTAGTTGCTCAATATCTGAAAGTGTGGCTAAGAAACTCAATGGGTTTGTTTACATCAACTGCAACTATAACTAGACCACAATTCTAAACCGGCTCAGAAAATCAACATCGTTGTTCACCTCACTTTCTCTGAGGAGGCCCATTTGAAATTCTATCAGACAAATCTGGGCCAATGGGAGAAATTATAGACTATGCACTAAAGGGTGATGAGAATCAAGGGAAACTGCACAGGAGGGTAATGACCAGACTAATGGTCCTATGATATGGCCATCCCCTAGGCAGTGACATAAATGCTGTTTTGTAAATATTGTGGTTTAGTTCATATAGTAGGAGCAAAGGTTTGTTACAAACAAAAGTGCAGCCATCATTGGTTTGCATAAAATGTCATATTTAAATTGCAGGACACTGCAATGAAGAATATTCAAACAGTCCTGGAAAACTCCAGGAGGTTCTCAAGAGGATCATGTTGCCACCAGTGCAGAGCTTGCTGAACTGTGTCAACAGGTTGGTCTGCCTCAGTGAGGGAAAGAATGTTTCAAGAGAAACTTGAGGGACAGAGCAGAATTCTGCAGGAAAACACAAGAAGAATATAATGATGGAGCTCCTATGATGATGTTCTGGTCTGCCATACAACACCACTGAAACAAGGTAATACTTAGGCTTTTATTTCAGTACATTTAAGCAGTTTTTAAACTTTTTAAATAAACACTTTAGTTGCCATTATTGGCATTCATAAGGGTTTAGATTACAGATTAATAACAGTCAATTTCTTTGTTTAGAACAACCAGTGACACTGCAGCACATCTTAAGTAAAGCACACAGCATACATCATTCCCACTTAAAAAACGGATTCTGTGATTGTTGAGTTGCCATGGCTGCTCTTGATCTGTTTCTGGTTGTGAAAGGAGGAGGTAGATGTCAGACTTAAATACTGTTGGATAAACCACAGACTTTGATGTCACAGGGAGAAACACAGTTTTTGTCCTGAAACTAGTCTTTTACCAACATGGACTGAAAGGCCAATCAGAGAAAAAGAAGCCATTACTCCAAACAACAGAAAAAGCCAGATTACAATTTGTAAATGTCCAAGAGATAATTTCTAGCAAGCTATTGTGAGAAGCTTATGACATGAACCCCAGAATGTTTCAATCAAGTCATATGGTTTATGGGAAAATTCTCTCCAATATTTAGAAAATGTAGAGAAACTAATGGATTTGTGGAAAGTTAAAAACAAGTCTATGCATTCTTATTGTGACATCCAGAAAGAAACAGGGTATATGATGGGGGAAAAGAATATGTGTCTTTGTATGGTGTACGTAAATATCTGGCTTTAACTATAAAATCAATAAACTTGCTAATAAAATAAACAGCATCTTTCCGCTATGGCTGTACAGGGAACCATATCCAGAAAGTCAGCCCTTTACTGAGTATTATATCAAATGATAAATGTTAGCTGGAGCAAAAAGGCTAAAACTGTTCATGCTGCTTTCGCTCCCTCTCCAATTGTTCTTGACCTTTGAACCTGACAGAGAGCCACACCGAAGTGTCTTATATGGCTGTCTGGCCTGGGTTATCGGGGTCAAAAGTCATGATCTCCATGTGGATAAGACCTGGAAAACAGAAAGCAGTGTTAAATTTAGAAGAGAAATCTCTTGTGTTCAAACAAATCTATCAGGAATATGAGCTCATCACTGCACTTGATGACTTCTCTTAGGATTTAGATTGCCTCGGTAGAGCACCCGAGTCTTTAGCTTTGCCGTACATACTCTTCCATTCTCCGACATCGAGCTCAAGGCTCTCAAAGGAGTCATCGTAAGGTTTGGAGTCTGGTTCTGAGTCTGGGTCGTGGTATTCTGACAGAAACGGGTGGGCCAGTCCTTGATTGGCTGTGAGCCTCTTCTCTGGATCCAGCAGCAACATCCCCTCCAGAAGGTTTACAGCTGGAGGCATAAGGACAGAAACCATCCCGTCTTCTATTAACCGTCAATGCTTTCAGACTTGGGTTGATTTGACAGTATTTACTGTAAGTGTTTCTATTAGCAGTGCACACTGTACTTTTTCTGGTATGTTATAGACCTAGAGTCAGGTCCACATATACAAACTCACCTTTCTCATTCATTGTTGGAAACACTACTTTAAAATTCTTCTTCTTTTGTGAAGGCAGACCTTGCACGTATGACTGTGCCTGAAAAATAAATGGCAGGAGCCACATGATTCTTCAGAAACTGACAAACACTGAGGTAAATGGGTGAAAACCTTCAAATAAATTAATCTCTTATTTCAGTTGTATAATCTCCATCCATTGTCTTCCGCTTATCCAGGGGCAGCTCCCAAGGCGTTCCTCGGCCAGCAAAGAAACATAGTCCCTGCAGTGTGTCCAGAGTCTTCCTCTGGGTGTGCTCCTGTCGGGATGTGCATGGAACATCTCAACAGGAAGGCATCCAGGAGGCATCCTAATTGGATTGTCCCAGTTACCTCAGCTGACTCCTTTTGATGTGAAGAAGCAGGACTTTGAGTCCTTCCAGGAAGCTTCTCACACTGTCTCTAAGCGAAAGCCCAGGCACCATGCCATCTCATTCTTCTGGCCAAATAGTGCTTGTGGCCATAGATGAGGGCAGGAATAAAGATTAATCATTAAGCCTTTTGGCAAAAGCTCTTCATCATGGCAGACAGGTATAGCAGCCGTATCACTGCAGACCCCACACAAATCTGCCTATTGACCTCCCGTCAAATTTTTCAACACCCCAAAATACTTCAGCTCCTCTACTTGGGGCAGGACCTTGTCTCTGATCTGGCTAATGTACTCTGCCCTGGTTCATCACCAGAAATGGGTAGTTCCTGATTTTTGCTTCACACTCCACTGCAAACCACTCCAGGGAAAAGACTTTACCAAACACAATTGGTAAAGTGACAAAGCCCAACTTACTGCCAGCAATAAGGACCAAACTCTGGAATTAGTTGCACAGAGACTTAACAGCCCTCAGTTCTGTGTATAGTCTGGTTCCCCTTACACAGGACTACCCAAGGAGAGATTTGAATGCCTGCTCCACGTCCAAAAACACACGTAGACTGATTTGGTGAAATCCCATATGCCCTCCAGGAAAAAGAATGGTTCAACAAACACAAAATCAACCTCCTTCCACAGCTATCTCAATTTCAGATCTAGATTGGGGGGACCAGAAGAGAGGAAAGTTCATCAATGAGAGGTTCAGGATATCAACTGCAACAAATGACTAATATGCACATCTTGACCAGATTTGCAAACAAATTTATTTGCATCAGTAGTATACTGGAAATATCTTATGGTTGGTTTGCAGACAAAAAATAACTCACATCTTTACTCTGCATCTTCTGCACTAGGGACGAGTCTGGTGTTCCTGTCAGATTGAGGATCTTCTTCAGCTGATCGATACCTGGATGCTTAGGTAAGAAAACCAGGGCGATCTGTTCAGTGTGTACCTGTTTGGCTGTATTTTAAATCAATTAAATTTAATTTAAACATGTTATTAATACATTAAGCTAATATTAGCACGTCTCTCACATACTGGTTTATATTCATGAATTCAGCCATTGATTCAGCCATTTAAAGCTCATTCCTGCACATGATTGAAACTCAATCCTTATTCTTTATCCTTATAATAATTGAGCATGAAGACATCTGTATGTGGATACTGTCATGTCCTGAGAAAAGCACCGTGCCAGTGATCATTTCAGCCAGGATGCAGGCGGCAGACCAGACATCCACTGCAAAGAGGCAGAATCTCAGCCACAAAAATCAGTTTGACACATTGTGTTGTAGCCTACTTTAATGACATTTGAGACAAATTGATATGAAAGATGCACAATATTGTTCTTACCTCCCTGACTGTAGTGCATCCAGTTGAAAATGACCTCAGGTGCTCTGTACCAGCGTGTGACCACATAACCAGTCATTTCACTCTCAGTTTGTCTCGCCAGACCAAAATCCAGAATCTGAAATGAATAACGCTTGATTTTTTTCTACACCTTAATTCTTTCAATTTCAAGTTTTGCTGCAGATTCACAATAAAATTGTGGTTAGAACTTTGATTGACCTACTCTATTTTTTGTTTTTGCTTTGTCCTGTTGTACACAATACTACCGCCACCCAGTTTCACTATCGGGAATGTGATATCAAGGTGTTAGTTTGTCTCTACACTTTACCTGTTGTAGTGGTGGACACACTTTGGCTACTCCACTAATGTAAGACATGTTTTTTTTGTTTAGCACTTTAATGTTTTTGCAAACTTTCAAAACATTTAGCATACTTAGCTTACCCTAAATTTATTTGTCTAAGACTCATTTATTTGGCTATTTTGTAAAGTTTCAGTTAAATAAAAGTTAACCTCTCTGTTGTAGTTTTAATTATTGTCTGTCAAGAATTTTTCAAGTAGTCAGCCATTTCCATTCATGCTTTGTGAAGAGGATGAAGCCTGTTTATGCAGCATTTCCATTTCCTCTCTTCACCTTTCCTTTCTTTTTTTTCCATAAAGCTTTGAGTAAATTCCAAGTAAGCAATAAATGGAGGAATGAAGTATAGCCTACAACAAAAAACAGCTACATGAACAATCAGGTGTGTTAATAAAAACATACATAAAATTCATAAATTCCAATTATTTTGAGAGACTATATGCTCTCTTCGTGACACATGATGGGAAAAACTATTGTTGAATGTAGCGCTTTAGCATTAGCTTCAACTAAATACTGTGCTTGCATAGGACTTTGGCGTTAGTGGAACTAATGTGTATACTTTAAGGTTAGGGCAGCTAAATTTATAGTTTGCGCTGCCCACCACTGTCATACATTTTGAGGACTTACCTTTAATTCACAGGATTCGCTCACTGCCAGATTGCCCGGCTTCAGATCCTACAACACATGAGCAACACCTTGGCATTAATTTCAGCATGTTTGCCTCTTTTGTGGCAGCAAAATGAAAAAAAAAAATCTAAACAAGTAATAAATGACTTAGACATTGAAGCTGATAGATACCAACCCGATGTATGATCCCAGCAGAGTGGATGTACTGCAGATTTAAGAACATTAAGAAGACAAGGGAATTATCTTTGTGAACTTAAGAGATGTTGGAGGAAACATCTCAAGATATTTGCAGCTAATTAAAAGACGTACACTAGTTTTACAGTTAGAATTGTGTTTCTAATTTTGTTTCCACAAAGCTCTGTTGGTTACATATTAACTAGCAGTGCTTGAGGGGCTAAATAAGGGTAAGGAAGACAAACACCCATGACACACTCAGCCTGGGAACCACATAAGGAACAGACTATCTGACAAGATTCCTTTGAACATATTCTTAAATGTACTTATTCTGCAATCACAGTCATTTATTAACACAATTGTTAAATGCTTTTTCTTATACAAAACACTGAGTAGTGGATGAACTATAGTTGATGACCTACAGTCAAAGAGCTGTTTTGAAAAGGCAGAAAACATAGTTTTTTCTGCAAATAAGATACACAGCTGAAATTAGTCATGCACATACTCTGAAAAACAATTTCTGGTATTAAATCGGAGCACGCTTTTTCTGCTTAAGATTAATTTTGACTTGCCAAACGATTTTCATTTTCTAGAAGTAGTATTAACTTCATCACTAAGCCTCTGTTGCATTAGCTTGATGTTGGTATTGACACTCCCTAAGTTTGAGCTCACAAGATGCTGTTTCTTCCCAGACGTTACCCTTATCTTTGTGATCTGGGAAGACAGTAAGAGTGTTTTTTTCTCCTCTGTGCATGTTCCAGCTTGTGCTGCTGCTGCTTCATTTTGTCAATATGACTTGGTCCAGACTTGTTGAAGCTGAGATATCTTGACATTTCCAACCTGGTGAGATTGCTGCTGAGATTTTTTTACACTGACGCACAAGTGTGACAAACTCCATCAAAACTGTGGAATATTTGACCTATCAGAGAATACACCTGTTAGCAGTGTCTGAATGTAAGTTACAGCTGTAATTTGTAGTCTTAAAAAGTGTTGACTTAGGGGAGCTGAATATAAATCCATACACTTTCCAGATTTTCATCTATAAAGAAATAAAACTAAAAAATCCTTCTACTTTACAACTGTGCACTATGTTGTGTTGGTCTAGCACTTAAAATCCAAATAAAACATAGAAATATGTTATTCAAAAGAAAAATAAACCTTTGCAAGACACAAAGATCTAAGCTTATTTGGAAGGGCATGGAGGTGGATGTATATTATAAATGGCCCACTAGGAGACCGTAAATAAAGCTAATAATAATAATAATAATAATAATAATAATAATAATAATAATAATAATAATAATAATAACCAAATCACTCACCTTCAGGCCTCTTAGCAGTTGATAAAACAGATATGTGATGATGCGATCAGATAATCTCTTTCTCTTCATAATGTGGCCCAGATCTTGGGCTACAAAGGGCATCACCATATAACTAAAGATTGGCGGATATCAAGGGAGGAAAGAAACACAAGAATAAACCAAATAAAATAAAATCTCCAGGCCTGAGCCTAAAAGTTCAGGATATATAAAGCAATTTTATAAATTTAGACAATAAAAAGAAAGAAGATCAACATTTGAATGAACAAACCAAGTAAAAACAAAAAGGATGAAGCTGAAAAATTGAACCAAAGTCAACAAGCTGCAGAAACCAGCAGGATTTTTCTACTTACAAGGTTTGGAATTTCTCCAGTGTGGAGTCGGGTGTAAAGACGTCAAGAAGGCAGATCACCTTTAAAGAAAAATCAATCACTCAATAAACAAGCAAATCCTTAGTATATTTCCTTGTGATGATTTTCCTGTTCTTTATATCTACATTAAAACACATTTACACCAGCCTGGATCATTTTTCTTTTAAGCTAAATGCTTTTAAGTATTGCTAAGTCATATTTAAAGAGAGGAATATGTTTTTCACATCAATGTACTTGTAGATTGCAGACTAATTGTCATTTCCTGCAATGTTTCTTCTCACGTTGTCATGCTGAATGTGGCGGAGCAGCCTCAGTTCCCTGTAGGCTCTCTTGGCATGGATGAGGGACTGAAAGGGCCGATACAGCTTCTTGATCGCCACCTTCTCTTTGGTCTTCTGATCGATGGCAGAGCTAAACAAGAATAAACACACTGTCTTATTGACATGGTACACACTGGCTCACATGACTCACACGGATACTCTGATGGAAGTCAGGAACCTAAGGGTTGTTGTTTTCTGACACACCTTTTGTCTATATATCAGTGTCATTATCAGCATCACTTTATTATTCTCCCTTTAGGGAGATTTGCAGGATCTGAACCAAAATAACATCAGTGTTAACAGCCAATAACACATCTATTTCAGTGGGAGATCACTAGAAAGAAGTGTGTCTTGGACAGCACATTCCTGCCTGTTGTGTTGAAAAGGTTTGTGGTGGAGATTCTTGTCGTTTTGGAGGACCTGCATTGACTTGCAGATCTGCTTCAGGCAGACAAGAACTGTTTCTGTTAGCAAAACCATTTGATCCGGGCTCCCTAAACCACACAGCTGTGGAATGCATATTTAGGTCCCAAAAACACACAGGATAATTTAGGATGTCAATCAATTTAGATCCAAACTCAGTCAAAACCTTTAGAACAGCACTGATCTATAAAACTATACTAGCAGCTTGAATGTCTGACTGGAACATTGGAAAAGTTTTATTTACACAAAAATGTAAATGACAACAGCTCAAATCTAAATTTGTGACTATATGATAGTGAGAATTAACAAAAGTCACAACATCTATTATCATTTTCAAAATGTTGAAAGAGTGACTGTTTTTGTCCAGCTGTTTTCGCCCCTACCCGGGCTAAACTCACCACACTGTGCCGTAAGCTCCGGAGCCCACCGCCAGCAGCGTCGTGTATCTCTGCGGGACATCCCAGGTGGTTTTCTGCACCTCCAGCCTGTGGAAACCGGGCCTGACGGGAGAACTGCTGACCGGAGACTGCATGGCGCCCCGGGACTCCAGGTCGCTGCTGCACTGTTTCTACCTGACAGGTGGGGTCTGGTTGGTTAATGGTTGGTCTGTTCAAGGGAGAGGGAGGGGATGGAGGGATGGGAGGTGAGAGGGGCGACGCCTCCGCGCGCTTCCGGACTCGCTCCTTTAGTTTTTATTAGCTGCAGTCAGAAAATTCTGCTTTTGATGGAGTTTAAGAAATTCATAGAACACATTTCAAAACAGAAAAAAAAAAATCTAAGCATGATTCACGTTTTGCTGTTATTTCCTTGATCATTTTCTGCTTTCAACTCGATGTTGGACTTTGCTCCTGCTTTATTTACAAGAAGGGAAGAGAATAATTTTACAACCCACACGTTTCAGAAATCCTAACATTGGTGGAGCAAAACAGTGGGTTTTATTATTGTTATTAAGATTGTGTTGTTTTCTGTTTCTTTTACATTTTTTAAGGATTTCAAAACGCGGTTATGGGTCTGTGCGTTTTACTTAGTTAAATACATAGTATTTATATGGGAGTCCATTACTGACGTTTTGAAGCAAATCAACATTTTTGAGACAGTACCGTTGAAGACTATGGCAAAATTTTGCAAAAATAATACTATAGCAATAAAATAGGACTTTAAGTCACGTGACGAAGTTAGGCCACCATCTTCATGAGGAAGGGGGGTATACCCTATACCTATAGGTTTAGCTTTCTGTGTTTCATTGGGAATATTAATGTATTATTGTGTATTCATTGTTTGAATCTGGTGCAGCGGGGAGGATTTTTACTTCCTTTTTTATTTAAGGATAACTCAGATATCCTAACAAGACATTACTTGGATGATATGAGTCACAACAACATTTAAATGCTTTATTTCTTTCTGGGATAACTAAAGCATTTTTAAATGAATTTAATTGATGCCGATTTATTTTGATATCAACGCCTTCTCTTTTACTTCTCAAGAACAAAACATCTAGACCTAGAACAAAAAGGGAAACTATTTCATAAATATACAGTTAACTTGCGATTAAAAAGAACTAAAAATAACAACAATTTAAAATATTGTCACTTCCTAAAATAATGGCCGAAGTCAGTTTTTGTTAAAAGTAACTCACCACCCCTTTCTTCCCAAAAGATGTTTCAGGCAAAGAACACAACAAAGCAAAGCAAAACAAAAAACTCTTGGCAAAAAATTTACCAACAATTTAGGAAGGTGACGGGATTCTTTTAAAGAAACAGTTCTACCTAACAACCAACAGAGGGCAGTGTCATCTTATCTGGGCTTTAACGGGACATTCTCATCTTCACTGAATTAAATCTGTTTTGAGGTCCATCATCAGTTGAACAGTGTAATTATAACAATGTAGTTATAACTACACTAAAACAGTGTAGCTGTTTTAAAATATTGAGGTTAGCTAATAGTGAAAAACATTGGTAGGAAATATCATCCAGAAGGAATAAAACTTTCTAAAAGTGCTCAAAAATGTCAAAGAAAAAATTTAAGTGTGGGAAATTTGATCACAGAAATTGTTTTATAATATTTCATAAATTCCATGCTTTCCAGCTGAATATTGAGTGTTACTGGCAACCTTCAGCATGCAACAAGGAGTTGACAGATTAGAGTGTGAAGCCAACAGAGGCATAATATATTTCCTGTAAAGGATTTCCAAAAGAAAAGCACCTGAGTTATACGATCGGTCCTTAATTTAAACTGTCTGACACAAAGTGTAAAACAGCTTGTTTATTAGGTCCTAGCCATGAACAAAATAGTTTATTTTGACATTTAAAGTATTTCCCGGAATGAATAACTGAACTTATTTTAAGAAGTTAAAAGAGCTTGAGACCGGGTTGGAGAGTCCCCTCCCTTCAGGACGATGACCTTTGACATACTGCCAGAACCAAAGTGTTGTGGCAAGACTTAAAAATGTATGTTTCTCACTTTTCAAAACATTGATTGACATGAACTACTTTTCTAAACAGGGTGACAAAATACAAACAAACAAACAAACAAAAAAAAATACTGTCTCCAGATGTACATAAACATTGATGACACAAAGTATCAGTTTGAAAGGTTCTGGGGGAAGAAAATGGGAAGAGTGTTTCTTCTGCCTGAATTTATTTTTGAAATTTTAATTTATTTTTTAATCTTATAGATACATACATATAAATAAGAACATTGTTCTTATTTATATAAGAACAATGTTTTTTTTTTTTTTTTTTTTCTGACTGACTTCTTCATATTTTTTAAATTGTAAACTATTACAAAAAATAGTGCCAGAGCGTGCCCACCGCCTGGTCAACCCCATAAACATATATAACTATTTCACTCTATATAAATAAATACATACATACAGATACATAATCATATACATTATTTAAAGTATTTATTTAAAAATTCCCATCTTGGCAATCCCTCCTCAAACTCATGTCAACTTGTGAGACACACAACCAGTACAGGATACACACGATTTTTGCTCCTATAAATATTGCAGAAATATATGTATTCTACATGTGTAAAATATAAATACCCTAATATGTTCTGCCATCGATTGAAGGCAACCAGTTAACAACTACAGCTTGAAGAACATTTATAACTTAGAACAATAATGGCCTGTCCAGGGTGTATCCCGCCTCTCCCCCAAAATGTCTCGATGGAGGAAGGCTCCAGGGCCCCTTCCGAAGGCTCCAGGGCCCCTCCTGACACCACTAGGGACAAATGTCTGAAGAAAATGGACGTATTAACATTTCTTTTTACTTTATTTTGAAGGTGACCGCAAGCACTTCCTGTCTCCGGCCCGTCTGACTCCGTGTTGTCTTGTCGCGAGCCGTTGGTCTGCTCTAACTGTTGTTGAAAGCTCTCAGATGTGCAGGGAGCTGAACGTCCTGAAGCGGAAGAAAGCACCTACTTTCACTCACACTGCCGTCCTCTGGACTCGTTTTTATCATTTTTTTGTCTTTTCTAAGCTGACCGGAATTCGGTTTTCAACTCTTACTTTTAGTGTAGTTAATTCCACGAACGTGACTTTTCTTGTATCCCCTCTGCTTGCCGCTCTGCAGTGAAGTGGAAGCTGAGTCTCATCAGCTGCGGCAGCTAACCTGGATGAGAGGCTGCTCAACATGAACGGCGGAGTCACCAACTTCAGCACCTAACAGGTAAGCTTAACACCCACATGTTCACGTGAAAACGAAAACAAACAAACAAACAAACAAAAAAACTAACATGTTCATGTTTTTATTAGAAGTTTGAATTGAGTCGTGCTGAACAGGTGTATTAGTGTCCGACCAACCCCAGTGATTTTACTCTCCAGTGTTAACATTGTGGCTCAGACTCCACTCTGTAGTCAGCTGATACAGGAATGTCTGGGAGCTGTGGGAGCCAGGCGTTCACCTGCCGCTGGCGCAGCTGCCTCCATCAAAGAGCTGAACCGTCTGCCAACACCAGCTGAAGGGGACACAAGTTTCCAGGCTGTGAAATATGCGCTCAGTTTTCTGGATGGTCGGCATGCCGTGGTGTGGTGAAACACGAGCGCCGCTGATAAAAACCTTTCCGTCCCTCGCGCTCCGTCTCCTGGGAGCAGAGAACAGGAGAAACGCGCGTGTCAGGCAGGAATTCCTCCTCGGGGTGACTGTGTGTTTTTTTATGGCTATAAATGGAAGATGGAGAGGTTGGTTCGGCTGCAGCTCTCTCCATGTTCTGTGCCAGCTGTCAGATTTAATCTGGCAGAATCAGTGGAAACGAACGGCACATGAATAAACCAGAACCAGTGGCTCGACGCAAACTGAACTCTTCTGAACTGCAGGAAGTTCTCCTTTTTACGTTTTGATAAAGGACTTCCCATCTATTTTGGAACGTGCAAAAAGATTCTTGTGGTTTTAGACGGCTCAGCCTTTAACCTCAATCATGTGGCTCTTTGTTTCCAGACATTTTTCAATAGCCGGCCATCTGCTTACTGAGGGCTCTGCTCCAAAGAATGATATCACATTACCTACTCTGGACCGCGGGGGATGACTGGAGGTGTGCCTTTATGGTATTATTAGGAACATTGTCCTTTTATAAAAGTTGAATTGTTCTCACACTGCAGCCCTATAGGTCCACCCACTTTCCTTATTGTTTATTTGCTCTGTATCAATTGTTACCACTCCATTAAGAGCAATGTCAAAATATACATTTCCGTCAGTTAAATTTGTTTGAAGTTTGAAATACTAATCTGATATTGAACAGTCCGATTACAGTTTTCTTTAGTCTTTATGCAACCAGGGAATCTTTTTAGGGAGACCTGGCAAAGATGGGCAGCGCCATCAAGAAGTTACCATCATTAAATATAAATAACATGCACAGACATGAATTAAAAACGGTGATAAGTTTTGCCCAGGGCTCTTTTTTTCATTTTTTAAATTTGATTTCATACAGATGAAATGAATGAAAACAAGGAGTTAAAGAATAGAAAGTATACCAACAATGAAGTCTGCAGGTCATCAACGAAGGCAACCTCACTCAAGAATATAACTCAGTGATGTGTCAAGGTGTTGCAGTTCGCTATCTCAGGGCAGATTGATAAGTTGCATCAGTCTTGTGAAAATTACATTATAGCCAGTCTGCTGTGATACTTTTGGGCTTTTGTCTGCTGAACTCTGCAGGTCAGCATCCCAGAGGAAGAACAAACTGATGTCCTTTTTCTACTGAAAATGTCTAGCTATCGCTGGTAAAAGCTAACTTTGGGTCTTTCACCTACAATAAAAGCTTCCACAACACAGAATGTTGTTGAGTGTGCTGTTCACCGATCTGAAAAAAAGTTTTAAACAATTGAATTTTATGACTTTGTTGTCACTCATAGGTACAACAAAAATGTTTTCACTTTTTTTTCTTTTTTTACAAAAAATTAAACATTGCATTGTTTTAAATTGGTTTAAACATACACATAAACAATTATCATTGGTTATGCCTGTCACAAAACTTTGTTGGGCAATAAATTGTCTCATAAGTTATTGCGATAAATATTGTTTTGATTTTCAAGTAATACAAATGGTGATGGCATAATAGTGCAAGAACACATTCTCAACAATCAATAAATTTAAAAT